TGTTCTTCACTTCCGCTTCTGACACTGGAAACCCCCGAGAATACGTTAGAAATATGGTTCGATCATTCTCAGTTGTGATGCATGTAGTATACCAACCCCAAAGATCACTAGAGATCAGGAATGGGTTGTTGTTGGGGATATTATTCCCACAAACAACATGAGGCATCACGACGATGTTCCCAAAAGTTGGATGAGGGAAGCTAGGGATGTTGAGAGGGGCCGTAGAGTCTGCTGAAGTAAGAGGATGATAAAGGATACACAAGAGCTCTTTGAATTATGTCGGAGAAAATTTTAGAACAAACAGTGCTTAGGAAATTTTGATTCCTTTGATGGTACTGTATCGTTATTTGTAGATTATTTGAAGATATATATATATATATATATATATATTTTTTTTCCATGAATCTTGCAGTGAGAGGGATCTGTTTAAAGCCATTTGGTGGTTCGTTAAACTCAAGGCACCGGAAGCACGAGACAGCCTCGTCAGCAAGAGATATAATTAAAGGATCACTGAGAGACATTATGACTGAGAAGATATGTTCAAAGCCAAAGTTTTCAAGCTAAAACCATGTGGCCATGACGAGAAGGGACTCAGTTGGGTCTCTTGAGAATTTTAAGACCAGTTTAGCGAACATCTCTCTGTCTTGAGAATGGAAAGCATGTAGTTGCTCTATGATGGAGAGTGACATAATTTGTTTGAGATCTACAGAGGATATTGGAGAAATAAGCGTAGGCGGAGAGTTTGAAGAAAACGATTGGAGGTAATAAATTATTGGAATATCTCGTAATCGTCATCAAATCAATTCGTTTTATACACATATGGGAGTCTTATCTTTTTTTTAAAAAAAAAGTTAATTTTTAAGATAACGAATGCAAGATTTTGTTACCTTTTTAACCACACATTAATCAGATGTTTTCTATAGTTTTTAAGTAATGGTAACAAAAAAAAATCAAAGATATGAACAGTTGTTAAGGCTTTCGAGTTATATTTATATGTGATGTGTATAATTTCAGCCCTGAAAAAATTCATTTAGAAATTTGTTGACTATTGACATGAATTCTAACAATGTAATAGAAAATTACTTTATTTGTTAATGTGGTTTGATGTATTCATAAATAAAATCTTATGTATGCTAAGTGTACTATAAAAATTTAGAAAATCATGTTTACTATATATGTCTAACTATCACTGGATACCTATCTTTCTTCTAATAAAGGTGTTCTATAAGAATTCACCACACATATTTATTCATTGTATGCAATGCAATGTCTATATGACATACTTTATTTTCTATGTATGGTGTATTTTTTTTTATACTGGATAATATTTGATAGTTTTATTTATTTTCTTTTTATACTGGATAATATTTGATAGTTTTATTTATTTTCTATTTTTGGGATTGTTTCTAGAGAATGATAGATATATTGTAATTTTTTTGTTTTAAATATCATAAATTCAAAATTCTATTTTATAATATGGTTTTTTTAAATAATCTTTAAAATAATATGGCATTTTATAATAAATAACACATAGTTTTACATAGTAGTTTCATAATTGATTATTGGTCGAAATTATATAAGTGAGTTAAATGATCCTCTTACAATTTTGTTTTTTGCAAGAAATTAATCTTTTCTAAAAACTTAATTATCATTTTTCTTAAGAAAAAATGTTAAAAAAATTAATTAATTAAAAAAGAACCACAAAACTTAAGTGATAACAAAAAAAATTTTCCAATAAACTATAATCCATTAATGTTTCTCGCACACTCTAACAGAACCGACACCTATAATGAATCTTGAAACAACCCCTTTAAGAATTTGATACCACAATCCAACCAAGATACCTGACAGAGACAGAAGATGAAGTGGGAAAGACGATGGCATCAGAATTTTAGTTTTTAGAGTTTTTTTATTTTTTATTTTGTTATGGTCCAGATTTTTTGAGTATTCTTAAAAACTTATATTCATTCACTAATTTTTTATCAATAGACAAGTTTATAAAGGATATATATAGCGGATATAAGATCTAGGATCTTAAATCGGAATAGTCACTCAGAACCTCCTCCATTTGGCTGGCTAAAATTCAATTTCAATAGTAGCTGGAGAAGTGATCCAGAAATTTCAGGTATTGGCTGGATCATTCCAGATCATACTGAAGCACACATTTGTTCGGGATGTACAACAGTAGAAGCCACGTCTTCGTCTTTCCAAGATAAAGCAATGGGTTTTTTACAAGCTCTTCAGATCGTATGGATGAAAGGATGGAGAGATATCTGGTCTGAAAGCGACAAGTTGGAATTGACAAAGATGATTAACCACCAAGAGGAAAATAATGAAATTGGGATCTTGTTAATCGATATCAAACATTGGATGGGTAAGCTTCCAGAATGTTCTTTGGATCATACCAACCGAGAGAGAAATTGTGTTGCAGATGTATTGGCTAGGAGGGTTATTTTTTTGTCAACATTCCATGTCTGGAAGCCCAAGGTCGAATACAGAAAGTGTTCGGAATCCTACTAAAAGCCCAATACAATAACATGATCAACAAAAAATAAAACACGGTACACGTCAAATACACGTGTTGTTAAAAGAAAAAACAAGGGCACGTGGCAACAAGGGAGAGGAAACGCTGCATCACCATCGAAAACTCCATCGACGGTGTTCTTCTTACCAGCGGTTTTCTCACCACCAATCAACAATAAATCTCCGGCGCCATCTGAAGGTTTCACCTTAACACATCTGCTCCTTTGCTACTTTTTACTTACTCCTTCGTTTTAGATCTCGTAAGTTTCACCGGCCAGAATTTTAATTTTTCAAATAGCTTTACCGCCTTCATCTTTCACTCAAAGACTTCTCCCTTTGCCTTGACAAGGTTCTAAATAGGGATTTGGGGAGAACTCATGCTCCCAGTTGAGAGAGGATGAAACCTGATGTGGTGTGAGTGCGGGAATAAGTGTTACACTAATAAAATCAATTAAAGTCGCAAGTGCACATCTAATCGATTGTAGTACTTAGGGATCGAATTCACAAGGAAGATAGATATTTTCTGCAAAAACTTTTAAAAAGAAATAAAGTAAGAAAGTCTATAACTAATCGATATTTTAAAAAGATTTTTGGGGTGTCACTAAAATGTAAATCCTAAACTAAATGGGAAAAGAAAGAAACGATTAGAACTAAAAATGACCTAATCTAAAGACTTAAGAAAATCGGCTGGAAAAATGAAGAAAACTTAATGTAAAAAAGCTTGAATGAAAATTGAAATAAACTTATAAAAGCAGACGCTGGATTTACAGGAAAATTATCTCTGGTGTGTGAATGATTCAAAACATTACTAACAACTAATTTAAAAGATCCTAGCTAAAACTTTAAGAACTCGAGCTCGAAGGTATGACTATATCACTGTCGTGATTGCAACCAATTATCACCAACAACCCTGACTAGTAGGTTTCCACTCTGATCCATTCACAACTCACCCATAGGTAGGTTTCCACTCCTATGGCAGAATTGCTCTTCTTAAACTAGATCTGGCCCATAATGGAAACTTTCGCAACAATACGAACCTAAATCAGATTATAGTTCATGACACTACTCCCATGCATTAAAAAATAAGTTTAGAAGAAAAAGTTCTAGAATTCGGCTTTAGTAGCTAATGGAATCCTCATCAAACATATATAATCCCCATCAAAAAATCCCTTAAACCCAACAAGTAAATTACTAAGACAAGATTAAAGAAAGCAAAAACAATATATTGAATTACTGAATAGAATTCGATATTGAAAAGAAAAAAAAAAGAGTTTAAGACAAAGATCTATATCTCCCTATACCTAAAAGTTAAAAGTATGAAAAACACAACTCTACAGAATGAAAAATATGAAAAGCATACGGCCTAGGGTTCCTGAAAACATGTATTTTATAGTCCTCAAGTCATTTTTGGACGTCACTTAGGGTTTCTCCAAATAAAAAATCGATTTGGGCTTGGAAATGGGCTTCTTAGTCGAGCAGTGTATTCTCCGCGGTCAGAGGGCATGCGACCGGTGGAAAATAGTTGCTGGCCGCAGTCAGTAATGCTGGCCTACTGGTTGACAGGACATCTTACTCTTCGCGTAACTTTTGACTGAACCGTTGGATTGTCCTGGTGTCAAGTGTGCTGGAAAGCTAGCTGCTCCATATTTATGAATACCAAATTTGAGCTGGATCAGATGGTGAGAAATTCATCATTTGAGGGTGAACTTCTAATGGTTTGACGCTGAGCTGAAAATCTGGTGTTCTATCCATTTTGCTAAGCTTTTTCCTAAGTTTCCTGAAAAGAGTCTTGAAACTATAAATACTACAAAACCACAATAAAAAATACTTATAAAAAATAAAAAGCATTGAAAAAATTATTTATAAATGATCTATAAAAATGGTCAAAATACGGTGTTATCAACTCCCCTAGACTTAAACCTTTATTTTTCCTCAAACAAAGCAAAAAACAAATCAGATGAAGTGAAAACAAAACTGGGAATTGCATAAAACTCAGAGACATGAACCTCTAAACTACGACCATCGTCGTACAACAATCGCAACTTACTCTAGAAAATTCTCACCAAGACACAATGGTAAAGGAAAATGATATTTTCTTGATGCAGCATTTAACTTCCTATAATCAGTGCACATTCTGTGGCCTGTTACATCTCTAGTGGGTATAAGTTCATCCTTATAATTCTTTACCACTGTCATACCACCTTTCTTGGGCACCACATGGACAGGAGAAACCCATTTTGAGTCAGAGATAGGATATATTATCCCTGCCTCAAGTAGTTTTAGAATTTCTTTCTTAACCACCTCCTTAAGGTTTAGGTTAAGTCTCCTTTGGTGCTCAATAGAGGACATAGACTCTTCCTCGAGGTGTATTTTGTGGTTGCACAAGCTAGGAAATATCCCTCTAATGTTATCAAGGGAATACCCTATGGCTTTTCTATACTTCCTAAGCTCATGCAACAAGGCTTTCTCTTCATGCTCTAACAACCTATCAATGATGATGACAGGATAAAGTGAATTAAGGCCAAGAAAGGCTTGAGCTCAACAGAGGGCGCCTTGGTCTCATCCCAATCAGCCAAGAAACCTCCTTGCTCAGCCGGAGCTTCTTTGGTGTTCATCTCATCAGCCAGCTTGACCTCCTGCTCAGCCTCTATACCCACAGCCATACACTCTTGAACTGGACCTTGGCTTGTACTGAACCCAATGATGCTCTGAACCTCAAGGCCGCTTGTTTCCATTTCCAAAAACTGATTTTCTGAACCATGGCCTGCCTTATGCTGATCCAACACCATCTTGTATGCTTCACTCTCCTCAGCTAAGAACCCATGTTCACCTGGTTTTTTTGTCAAGGTAACCTGAAGGGGATCTTCTAATGTGAGCTCTTCTAACAGCTCATTAGCCAATTCATCCATTGTTTCAATAATGTAAGAGATTCTGATCCAAGGTGCAACTCAATCTTGCCTCCTCTCACATCAATTATTGCACCTGATGTAGCAAGGAATGGTCTTCCCAAGATGAGTGGATTCACTGGTTCCTCATCCATTTCTAAGACTATGAAGTCAGTGGGGACTTCAAAGCCTCCTACCTTAACAGATGGATCTTCAAGTAAACCTATGGGAAGCCTCACTGATCTATCAGCTAAAACCAATGATGTCTTAGCTGGCTTGAACACTCTAAAACCCAACCTTTGTGCAACTAAAAATGACATTAGACTTACTGAAGCTCCAAGATCACAAAGACAACCAGAAAACTTTAAATGACCAATGGTGCAAGGTAGAGTGAGGCTCCCTGGATCAGAAAGCTTCCTTGGATTTGTCTTCCTTTGAATTATAGCACTGCACTCATGGCTTAAAACAACCATACCTTGAAGCTCTTTTGATCTGTTCAAGATAGCATCCTTCAAAAACTTCCCAAGTTGTGGGATCATAAGGAATGCTTCTATGATTGGAACTGTAAAGTTGGTCTCTCTTAGCTGCTTATCAAACACTGCTCTAGCTTTCTCTAAGATTTGCTTCTTAAACCTCCCTGTAAATGGAAATTTAGGCTGATATGGTGGTGGTGGAACATATGGTTTCTCAGGCACCACATCCTTTTCCACCTCTTTACTCTTATCATTCTTAACAACTTGATCTTATTGCTCACTCCTTTGAGCTGCCTCCCCACCAACTTGCTCATTGTCTTCAGTGAGCACTTGCCACTTCTAAGAGTAATGCCATGAGCATATTCCTTGGGATTAGGTTCAGGTTTACCAGGTAAAGTTCCTTGTTGTCTTGATGAAGAAGCTTGATTCTTCTCTAACTCTTTGATCTTTTGTTGAATAGCCTCATATTTTGAACCCAAATCAGAGTAACTGTTTTCAACTCTTTGTTGACCTTGTAGAAGTTGCTATAGAACACCACACAAATCAGAACCCATCTGCTGTTTCTGAACCGGCTGTGGCTGACTCAGTTGCTGTTGTCCAAACCCTGGTGGATACTTGTTTTGCTGCGGCAGGCTGTTTAAATTGATGCTCTGAATCTGCTGCGGTTGTTGTCCATACCCTTATGGTTGCTGTACAAACTGCTGCTTGGGCTGATAGTTCCCTTGAAATTGGTTCTTGGGAACAAAGCTCTATTGACCTTGTTGAGAAAGGTATACTTGGTCTTGAGGATTTGCTACATTGGTGATTCTATAAGACAAGTTCTGGTTGGTGTTGAAGTTATTGTACCTTTGAAACTTTTTCTGATTCCCTATATAGTTCAGCTCCTCTTGAATAAGTCCTTCTTCATTGACATTGTCAAAAATTGGAGACTGGTCATCACATTCACCAACAAAGTGAATGGGCTTTTGAGAAGCAACCATCATCTTATCTACTTGGCTTCTCAACTCCTTAAGCTCTCTCTCCATTCTTTGCTCTTTACTTGAGCCCTCAGTTCTGTTTGCTCTTTCATAATCTTCTCCATAAGTGTCATTACTCATAGCTAAGTTCTCTACCAGCTTCATTGCTGCATTGATTTCCTTAGCAAGGAAATTTTCCATTTGAAGCTGTATCAAGTTGGTTTCTTATCTTGGGGAGGGCTACTCTATATAGGGTACTGAGTAGTGAAGATTCAGAAAACCCATGATGGGAACACTGGTTGATGTAGCTTCTAAATCTTTCCCATGCTTCACCAAAGGTCTCATTGGTGTGTTGGGTAAAGCTTGAGATTTGATTCCTTAGCTTGGTAGTCCTTGATGTTGAGAAAAACTTTGAGAGAAATGGTTGCTTACACTGGTCCCACGTTTGAATGGATCCTCTAGGTAAGTTCTTCTCCCACTGATGAGACTTGTCTCCCAAGCTGAAAGGGAACAATCTTAACTTAAAACCATCCTCTGATACCCCATTAATCTTTGTCAGATTACAGACTCTGTCAAATTGATCAATGTGATCAAGTGGATCCTCCATAGGCAGGCCATGGAACTTAGAGTTCTGCACAATGTTGAGAAGTGATGCCTTCACTTCAAAATTGTTGTTCTCAACAGGTGGAGCTTGGATTCTTTGCATGTTCTGATAAGCATTGGCTCTGTCATTAGCACCATAAGAATAGGATTCCTCACTTGAGGCTATTGATTCCTTTGCTGATTTTGGTGCTCTTGGTTGACATGAGCCTGGTGCTCATTTCTGGCCGCCTGGTTCTGATTCATCTGAGCCTGGTGCTCATTTCTAGCTGCCATGTTCTGGTTGACAAAGGCTTGTGCTTCATTCATGGCCGCCTGGTTTTGATTGTTCTGAACCTGATTGCTCTGAAGATGTGCTGTTATTTCCCTTTCTCTTCTTGCAGCTCTCTCTACCAGGCTGATGTTGTCAAAGAAAGGCTCAGCTGGTTCAGAAACTTCTGCTTCTAGTCTTTGGTCTATGTGACATAAACCTGAAACTGTAGCGCTTGAAAGTTTAATCAGTAAAACAAAAAGAAAACACTTGATCTCAAGAAAACAATCAGAGAATAATTCTAAATCCACACTATGGCAACCGCGCCAATTTATAAAAACAAGAGTTATGCACTCAAGTAGGGTTATCAATCGCCTTATCAATGTAGTATAAGAGGTTATCAGTCCATTGTGTGGTTTAGACACTAAACTATTGATAACACCTGATTTTGACCACTTTTATGGATCACTTTCAGTATCTTATGCAGGTGTTCTACTCAGTTTTAAAGGTTTAAGAGTTTTTTCCATGTTTAGGAGTTTTAAAAGGTTTTTCAGGAAACTTGGGACTTTGGAGTGCATTTTGGAGCAAAAGTACATTTTTGGATAAATTCAGACCGTCCAAAGTTTGGCAACCTATTAAGACCTTCTCACCGTCTGATCATCCCCAAATTTGGAAACATTATAGAGGAGACAACCAGCTTTCCAACACACTTGGAATCAAAACAATCCAACGGTTAGATCTCCAGCTATCATCAATACACTGAAGGCTGATCAACGCAAGCCCAGTCAAGCACAAGTGCTTTCACCCGCGGCCAGCCATCTTCCCACCGCGGCTCAAGAGGTTTCACCCTCGGTGGACCAATGTCCGAACCTCAGAAGCCCAACTAATGCCCAAGACACTTTCTGCACCCATTTTACCAGCCCTAGACACCCAAGACTTGGAGAAACACTATAAATACTCATTTTTAGGTCTTTTGTAAGGGAGCCTCTTTCTTCTCTTTGAGAGAGAAATCATTTGTAGTTTTAGGTTTTATTTTTATGCATTTGTAGAAGCTCTCCATCGCCACTCTGTCTTCAATAAGAGAAGTTTTTCTGCAATTTTGTTTCTTTTACTTTTCTTCTTCTTAGTTATAAACCGATGATGATATCTACCTCAGCCATGTCTGAGTAGTTACCTAGTTGGGTGAAAGGGTAATCCAAAGGGACCCCATGTTCGAACGACATCTAGATTTTTAGGAAAAAGGATTTCGAATTTTACCACGATTCTCCCATTCATCCAAATCTCAAAGCGGTAATTCTGGATTGATCACCCAGAATCCGATCCTAGATTTAATCCGAGCCACAAGAGTGTTGTATCTGGGTTGCCTGAACTGGATCTTATGGACGTCACCGTCATAGGAGACTGATGTATGCCTCGAGGTAGAGTCACACAATGAATCGATGGAGATCTAACAAGCTGGCCTTCGCTCTCTCTTGTTAGATCGGTTCAGGGGAAGTGAGGGTGGATCGATGGCACCACAGAGAGGATGGAGGGCTCTCTGATACAGCAAACACTAACCTCTGTGTGGAATCACACACACACAAAGGTAAGCAACTCTCTCAAGCAAAAGCTTCATAGAAAATGGCGTTATTTTATTGATAAGCAAAAAGGTATCGAACTACATAGCTGCAAGGGGACTTTATAAACATTCCATCAGCTTGAACCTTCTAGGGTTCGACTCAAATGAAAAGAAAAGACTCAAAAACCACAGGACTTGCAAAAGAAACAAAAGAAAACGGCAAAAGAAACAAGTAAACAGCGAGTTGTCTCATTTGGACACAAATAAGGAAAGTTCTACTTAAATGAATTAAAAGGAAAATAAATCTTGGGTCTTGACCGAGACTTGATCTCTGGTATCTCTGGGCTCTCATGGCTCTTAGTAACCACTGAGATGGTCTTCTATTCCTGCACAAAACTCATAAATAAAGTTTACCTGTTGTGCACGCAAAAGAGGCCATGGAAGAAGTGAGCTGTTCTTGTCGTGTGTTGGGGCGATCTTCTGCGGCCTTGGTAGTGTTGATGATGCTTGTTTCAAGTGCATGAATCCTTTCCTTGGCAGTCTATTCCTCAGCTAGCGTCTCTTGTGAAAGCTCCGGTTGATCGCTATCGGCTAAGTGTTTGGTGTTGCTTATCTTGGACTCTTGAGGGATGGTCTCCTCAGGCTTGTTGATGGTTTCGACTCCTTGTCCTGCCAAAAGAGATTTCATACCTGTTTTCGTGCTAGCCCATGGCTGATTCGGTTGAGTTTGAGCCGCGTCCTCTACTTGTTCCTCCTCGGGTGCTTGTATGAAGCTAGATACGACTAAGTTGATCTTTTCACGCAGGCTCCTGGTTCTAGACTGAGTCATGGGACCTGTTTGAAGTGTTGGGATATTGGGATCCTCATTATAACGCTCGATGACCTCATCATTCTCTCCCTCTTCAAGAGGTTTTGCCCTCAAAACTGTTTCACCTGTATCAAAAGGAGACAAATCAGCTACATTCAAACTATGCGAGATGTTAAACTCACCTGGTAGCTAAAGCTTGTAGGCATTGTCATTTATCCTCTCCAAGACACGGAATGGGCCATCTCCCCTGGGTGCTAGTTTGGCGCTCTTCTTGTGTGGGAATCACTCAGGCCTTATATGAAGCCAAACCCTTTCTTCGGGTTCGAAGACTAACTCTTTGCAGCCCTTGTAAGCTCTCCTCTTGTACCCTTCAGTCTTTTTCTCTATGTTCTCCTTGGCCTTTTGATGAGGTTTTTTGATGAACTCTCCCTTCTTCAAGCCATCTAGATTAACTTGTTCCACTTGAGGTAATGGTGAGAGATCTAAAGGGGTCAATGGATTGAACCCATATACAACTTCAAAAGGAGACAGTTTAGTAGCATAGTGTGTGGCTCGGTTATAAGCAAATTCAACAAAGGGAAGACACTCTAACCAATTTTTCAAATTGTTAGCGATAGTGTGGTTCACCACCTCGGTCTGCCCATCGGTCTGGGGGTGGCAAGTAGTGGAGAAGAGCAGCTTGGTGCCTAGTTTTCTCCAAATTGTCTTCCAGAAGTGACTCAAGAATTTGGTGTCTCGATCAGACACAATGGTCCTAGGGACCCCGTGTAGCCGCACCACTTCTTTAAAGAATAGGTCAGCTGTCTGCGAGGCATCATTCACTTTGGCACAAGGTATGAAGTGTGCCATCTTAGAGAATCAGTCTACCACTACAAATATAGAATCCTTGTGCCTGATCTTAGGTAAACCTAGTACAAAATCCATGGAAATATCCAGCCAAGGGGCATTAGGGATAGGTAAAGGAATGTATAAGCCACGAGGATGTGACCTGGATTTTGCCTTGCGGCAAGTGATGCATTTTGAACAGAATTTCTCCACATCTTTCTTCATATGTGGCCAGAAGAAATGGTCCAACAGAATGGCTAGAGTCTTGTTCATGCCGAAATGCCCCATTAGACCACCACCATGAGCTTCTCTTATTAGTAAATCTCGTATAGATCCTTGTGGAATGCACAGCCTCTTGTCTTTAAATAAAAACCCATCGTGCAGGTAGTAGGCTCCAAAGGCTCCTTTTCCACTTGACTTGTAGCTCTCAGAGAAGTCAACATCCTCTTCGTATAACCCCTTGTTGTGTTCGAATCCCAAGACCTTGGCCTCCATGGTTGAGATCAATGCATTCCGCCGAGACAATGCATCTGCCACCACATTGTCTTTTCCCTTTTTGTACTTAATGACATAAGGGAAAGTCTCAGTGAACTCCAGCCACTTGGCGTGTCTTCTCTTTAGAGTTGTTTGTCCTCTCAGGTGCTTGAGGTTTTCATGGTCTGTGTGTATCACAAACTCTTTGGAGAGGAGATAGTGTTGCCAAGTCTCCAATGCTCTCAAAAGCGCATACAGCTCCTTGTCATATGTGGGGTAATTTAGGGTGGCTCCGCTTAGTTTCTCACTGAAATATGCCACTGGCCTCTGCTGTTGATGTAACACGGATCCATTCCCTAATCCTGAAGCATCACATTCAACTTCAAACGTTACATCAAAATTAGGTAAAACTAAGACAGGTGCTTGAGTTAAACGAGTTTTAAGAGAGTTAAAAGCTCTTTATTGTGCAGCTCCCCAAATGAATGGTGTGTTCTTCTTGATAACAACTGTGAGATGGGCAGCTATTGTGCTGAAATCTCGCACAAACCGGCGGTAGAAACTTGCTAGGCCATGAAAACTCCGAACTTGGCTGATGGTGGAAGGGGTCGGCCACTCTTGTATAGCCTTGATCTTTTCTTGATCCACTTGTAAACCCTGTTCACTAACAACAAAGCCTAAAAACACAAGCTGATTAGTACAAAATGAGCACTTCTTAAGGTTGGCATAGAGCTCTTCCTTTTGAAGCGTTTTAAGAACTAATTCTAAATGCATGAGATGATCAGGTAAGCTCTTGCTGTAGATAAGAATATCATCAAAGTAGACGACAACAAATTTACCAATAAAAGACCTTAGAACCTGGTTCATTAGGCGCATGAAGGTGCTTGGGGCATTCGTCAGTCCAAATGGCATCACCAACCATTCATAAAGACCTTGTTTAGTCTTGAATGCGGTTTTCCACTCGTCTCCCTCATGCATTCGCACCTGGTGGTACCCACTCTTAAGATCCACTTTTGACAAGATTGTTGCACCACTTAGTTCATCAAGCATGTCGTCAAGGCAGGGTATAGGGTGTCTGTACTTGATTGTGATGTTGTTAACAGCCCTACAGTCGACGCACATCCTCCAAGTGCCGTCTTTCTTAGGCACTAACAACACAGGGACCGCACACGGGCTGAGGCTCTCTCGCACATAGCCCTTGTCCATCAAATCTCTTACTTGCCTCTCAAGTTCCTTGCTTTCCTCAAGATTCATTATGTAGGCTGGCTTGTTGGGAAATGCTGCACCAGGGATGAGGTCTATTTGATGTTCAATTACTCGAATGGGAGGCAGGACGGCTGGTATTTCATCAGGGAAAACATCCTTGAATCGTTCAATGAGAGCTTGAATCTCTGGGG